AAAGCTACTTGAGCAAAAAATTCTTAGCTATTGATCTTTGCTATTGTCTGAAGGTAATATTTAGTGCTTTCTGTTATTGAAACAGTGGAACATGCTAATGTATATATCTAATTTAAAAACAAAAACAAAATGCAAAACCCTCAAAAACATGCAAATCCAATTTGGGTGGAAATGTGCAAAGAAGAAAAGCACTATAGGAAGAAAGGAACAAGAGTCTATGATGCCTTCACCTCTGTTCATGGAGAATATTTGAAATACGCACAAAAGGGACAAGCATTTCATTCATCATAAAATTTGCTCAGCCTTTGTTCTTGCTCAGAATTCCAGAATATGGAAGTGATCTTCATCTTCCACTGTGTATGTTGCCACTGGCTTTTATGGAGCCACGTTTCATTCAAAAAGCTTTATTGTCCTAATTAATAATTGTGCTGACCCAACATAACCAAAACTGACCTACATCTGCACCAAATGTCAAGGTAGAAATACGACTGCTGCAAGCAGTCAGAGCTGAGGACTGGGGCAGAATATTCCTTTCATAAAGGGATGGCATTTGTAGAAGAGTGGCCAAAGTGCGAAACTGGGGTCACAGAGTAAACAGCTGAATCTAGCAAAACAAAATCTAGCATGGATTGGTCGTCGGCATTTAAACAGCTCTTCTTCCAAGCTCAGGATCAGTGCGTCCCTGTGAGCAAGAAATCGGGAAAGGGTGGCAGGAGACCTGTGTGGATGAGCAAGGAGCTCGTGCACAAACTCAAAGGAAAGAAGAAGGTCCATGAAATGTGGAAAAAGGGTCTGACCACTTGGGAAGAATATAGAAATGTTGTCAGCGCCTGCAGGGATGCGATGAGCAAAGCTAAGCTTGCCTGGAACTGAATCTGACAAAGGTGATAAAGGATAATAAAAAAGGCTTTTTAAAGTATGTTAGCAGTTAAAGGAAGACTAGGGAGAATGTGGCTCTAGTAAGTGAGTGGGGTGTTCTGGTAATGAGGGATGCTGAGAAAGCGGGGATACTGAATGCCTTCTTTGCTTCTGTCTTCAGTGAAAAACTCTCCCTCGGGACCTTGGAGGTTAGTGAGAGGGTCTGGGGAAAGGAAGACTTTCCTTTAGTCAGGGAAGAGGTGGTCCGAGAGTGCCTAGGCAACACCAGTGTTCATAAATCCATGGAACCCAATGGGATGCATCCACAGGTGCTGAGGGAGCTGGTGGAGGTGACTGCTGAACTGCTCTCTGTCATCTTTGAGAGGTCTTGGAGAATGGGGAAGGTGCCTGAAGACTGGAGGATAGCCGATGTCACTCTGGTCTTCAAAAAGGGTAAGAAGGAAGATCCAGGCAATTATAGGCCAGTCAGCCTCACCTCTGTCCCTGGAAAGGTGATGCAACAGCTTGTGTTGGATGCCATCTCCAGACAACTGGAAGAAAAGGAGGTTATCAGGAGTAGTCAGCATGGGTTCACCAGGGGGAGGTCATGCTTGACCAACCTGGTAGCCTTCTATGATGTTGTCACATGCTGGGTGGATGGGGGGAGAGGATTGGATGTAGTCTACCTTGATTTCAGCAAGGCATTTGATAATGTCTCCCACGACATTCTTATAACAAAGCTGAGGAAGTGTGGGGTGAGTGGACAGTGAGGTGGGCTGAAAACTGGCTGACTGGCAGAGCGCATAGGGTCATTGTTGGCGGTGCAGAGTCCAGTTGGAGGCCTGTAACCAGTGGTGTTCCTCAGGGGTCGCTTCTGGCTCCAGTCTTGTTCAGCATCTTCATCAATGACCTTGATGAGGGGATAGGGGCCACCCTCAGCAAGTTTGCTGATGATATGAAGTTGGGAGGATTGGCTGACACGCCTGAAGGCTATGCTGCCATTCAGCGAGACCTGGACAGGCTGGAGAGCTGGGCAGAAAAAAACCAGATGAAGTTTAACAAAAGCAAGTGTAGAATCTTGCATCTAGGGAGGAATAATTTCATGCACCAGTACAGATTGGGGGATGACCTGTTGGAGATGAGCTCTGCAGAGAGGGACCTGGGTGTCCTGGTGGACAACAGGTTGGCCATGAGCCAGCAGTGTGCCCTCGTGGCCAAAAAGGCCAATGGTATTCTGGGGTGCATTAAAAAGAGTGTGTCCAGGAGGCCGAGCGAGGTGATCCTCCCCCTCTACTCTGCCCTGGTAAGGCCTCATCTGGAATACTGTGTCCAGTTCTGGGCTCCTCAGTACAAAAAAAGACAGGGATCTCTTGGAAAGAGTCCAGCGGAGGGCCACGAAGATGGTGAAGGGCCTGGAGCATCTCTCCTATGAAGAAAGGCTGAGTGAACTGGGTCTGTTCAGCCTTGAGAAAAGAAGACTGAGAGGGGACCTGATTCAGGTGAGCAGAGTGGCGAGGCCAGACTGTTTTCAGCAGTGTGTGGAGACAGGACAAGGGGAAACAGCTGGAAACTGCAGCATAGGAAGTTCCACACAAATGTGCGTAAGAACTTCTTTATGGTGAGGGTGACAGAGCACTGGAACAGGCTGCCCAGGGGGGGTTGTGAAGTCTCCTTCTCTGGAGATATTCAAGATCCACCTGGACACCTACCTGTGTGACCTGGTGTAGGGAACCTGCTTTGGCAGGGGGGTTGGACTCGATGATCTCTGGAGGTCCCTTCCAACACCTATGATTCTGTGATTCTGTACCTGAATTTTGCCTGAATAAAGCAGAAATGTTCTTGCTGCTCTAAGAAAAGTTACTGAATTTAAAAATAATAATAGACATTATGAAGTCACGCTCTTATTTTCTGAATAGTCAGTTTGCATACATTAGGTGCCCAGATTACATGAAACCATGCCCTTTTGTTGCACATGCTTCTTTGGAATAAAAAGAGATAACCCTGTGTAGATTGTAACATTTCATTATTAAAGTATGAATTTAATGCTCAGGACATAGCATTTCGCCTAAACTGATACTGTGCTTTTGCTTAATTGAATAGCTGTTGGGTCAGCAAGGGTAGATATTTAATTTACTACATGAGACTTTCTAACAGAATTGGACTTGCATGTGAGATGCTCTAAATAACCTGCACTTATGGCTTAATACTTTTTCCAGTTATAATGGATTTCTTCCAAAAGAGAACTGGAAAAAATGAGTAAGTCCTATTGCCATTTGGTTCCTAGAAGAGGTCTCTGATTTTGAGCTTAGTCTTTGCAGGCACTACCCTGTATATAACTGGCAATCACTGCTGCGAGTTGTCATTGCTGTGGGGATCTTCAGGTCTGTTGTCCTGGAACAATAAATCTTATAAAGATACCGCAGTGAGCAATCTGTTTTTCAGTCATAGGGTCAGGTGTGGTGTATTACCTGGTGCAGGTAAATCATTTAGTACCACACAGCTGTCATATGGTGTAATGAGAAGGGAAAGTTCAGAAGGTCTTCTGTTGTCAGGTAAAAAGTTTTGTCAGTTTTGCTTTTGTTGCTCACAGTTAAAGCATGAATAAAGAAGTAAGAAAGAGGCCTATGTAGCTATTCAACACATTCAGGAAGCTCCTGATTCAGCAATTGCTATAGTTATGTTTGTCAAGTTGTTAGGCACTTGAGTAGGCCATTCTTACTGATATGTATGTATTAGATCTATGGAATTGCATGGCATTATTACTAGCAGTAGAGTTTAATGATTTAGCAAAAGGTATACTTTTGACAGGTGCAGAACTGAACATTGTCTTTCATGTTGCCAGCTGGTGGCTTTCAGTTAACACTGCTGATTTGCCAAGTTAGATTTTAATCTTCTAAACAGTCTCCTCAGCCAAGGTTAGCTGACACTTCCTTCAAGCTATACAGTACCCTATGAGAAACCTAGCCCTTTACCTGCTCAGTTTCTCTACTTACTCTGTTTGTGAAATGTTTTATGATACTTCCTTGGAAACGGAAAGCTTGACTGTTTTATTGAACTCTTGCTAGCAATTGGCTCTGTATTAAAAAATAAAAATAAAAAAATTAAAAAATCTTCCCTGCCAGAGCTCAAAAATATTTTACTGTTGCAAGAAAGCATATGAATACTGAAGTGAATGAGGATATTTTGTCAACAAATCTAGAATTTTAAAGTTTTTTTTTTTTTTTTTTTTTAAGAGGATGGAGGATGATTCTGTCCTGCTCAGTGAGGCTTTCAAGGGATGTATATAACTATAGCCACACAAGAAAAGGAGCATCTGATGAGGCAGTTTAACTAGGGAGATTCAAAAAACTGCCACTGCAATATGTACACACATCTTATTTCTTCTTTAGAGTAATTAGCACTGTTGAAACTGTCGCATTAACTTGAACTAAATGCCTGAGTCCTAACTTTCAAAACCGTTGTTCATTTTTTTTTTTCTCTTCTTGAAGGATTCCCCCCAATTTTTCATCTTGGGCAGTAGTTTTTGCTATAGAAATAGTCCTCCTTCAGAGTGTTAGATGGACAGCATTTGGACTGAGTGTTGTGTGGGGATTGTAAAAATAAGTTGTGTAGAAAGGTTGTAGGATTACTGGATTGACTGTGAGAGGTTTTTGGACAGATTTCTCTCTTCTCAGAAGCCTATTACAGAGAATAGTAAGGAGCTGTAGCTCAATATCACATATAAGATTACTAAAACTTCTGTTTTTGTTTTTTTTTTTGATGCAGTTATGAATTTGACCTTAGTTGGTCATATAGACAGGGAAAATTCCATTTACTAACTTCTTACTAAAGTTCACTCCTCTGCATTTCCAGATATTAAAAAAAAAACAATAAATAACAGGACAATACAATATCACCACAAACAAAACAAAACCAGAAAACTCAGTGTTCTATTTCTCCTTTCCATTGTTGTATGCTTTTGTCTCTTCCTCAGACTCCTGTTGATATTTCCCTCCTTATATGCTTTTATAGCTGCTTATTTCTCAACCACCCACGTGGTGATTCTGAATCACTTAGTTATTTTGGTTATTATTTTCTTGAAAGACTTCCTTTTGTTATCTCTATTTTTAAAATTTATTTTTCTTTTTTCTTGCTACCTTTAGGCAATTCTTCAGTAAATTGGAGGAGGATGTGTCCCCCTGTGATTGTGAAGAAATCTGGGACTGCTTAGAATCAATTTGTCATAGCCTGTGAATCCATTAAGGTTTGGACCTGCAGTTGGACCTGCAGGAAAATCCAGGAACAGTAACTTTTTTCAGAAGTTACTCCTTAATCTCGTCATCTACCTCAAGAAGTTGTGCTTTCTCTTTGGAGAGAGGGAATTTTATGATTCTATAGTGTCTTTTTGTTAGAAGTTTTTAGATCAGCTGCAAGTGGATGATGCAGAGGCTCCATGTAATTCCTGTGATATGTGTTTTGACCACTTTTTCCACAAAATGGAGAGCTGTGCAGTCAGGAGTATTCATGAGATTGAATTTACAAGCTGGTGATCCAGATCTCTACTGTTTGACATCTTTGCAAATTATTCCCTTGGGCATTAGCTTCCTATGATATCATCTTTATTAAACAATGAGAGCAGTATTTCATGATATCATGCATTTTTTTCTGAAGACTTGGCATGTTCTCTAAAGTTAGGGCGAATCTCGTGAAGATACTTCAGAAGTATGTGTTTTTTCCTTGATATTTGTTTAGACTTTGAACTTGCCCTTGAAATGCTTGGTTTCTTAACACCTTTTATCTGTATGCTTCTTCTTCCTTTGTTAGATTTAGGGACTTTCTGCAGAATTAAGGTTTAATCAAAATAAGAACTTTTAAAATATGAGAAATTGAGTGCACTTTGGCTTGAGAAGATATTAAGCTTACCTTCAAGTGATCAAAATCCGAAATCATGTATGAGTTAATGCTGTATCTACAAAAAGTTTCTTCAGTGATTGCAGTTGGTCTATCTCTAGCACTGGTCAAGATTTTTATTTCTTTTTCTTTTTCCATATAGCAATTATCATGATGGTAGAAGTTTTAAAGTAAGAAACTGTGATCTAAAAGAAAGCTTTGATTTTATTTATTTATTTTTTTTCCTTCAGAGACAAACAGGGGGAGATCTTTCATATGACTATACATGCAATTGTGAGAGAAACTATCCAATCAGAAAATGCTGGTTTGTGGGAGAAAACAAGATACTTATGATTGAATGTCTCATTGAAAATCTTCTTTGTGGCTCAGGATGCAAGATTCTGTGATGCTATTGGAGTGAAAATTCTTGATTTATTTTGCTTTGAATAGTCTGTCCAGCAAGTAGGGATGTGACCTTTGGTTAGAATTCTTTCTTCCATCCCTGACAATGTAAAGTAATGGAAACCAGTGAAAAGTAATGAAAATACCAGCGCATTTTCACACGAACTGAGTGTTCTACTTCTGTCTCAGCTTTATGTTAATGGCTGATTATTGAGAGTTAATTCTGCCACCCCATTTACAAGATAAAATGCTTCTCATTATGAGTGAATCCTAAACAATGCTGTAATCAATACAAATGAAAAGTTGGTCTGTCGCACTGGTGGCTAATACTCACATGATAGCGATTCAAAGTATATTCTTGTGCATTTTGGTCAGATCTTCAGCTGCTGATTTCGCTCTGATTTAGTTATGTTCTTGTATAATGGTATTCATCAGAACATCTGAGTTCATTAAATAATGTGATTTGTGTCATGAGTTGAATTTTTTTTTCTTTTTTTATCTTATCTTTACCCAAGGGAGAAAATTGCTTGTGGGGAAGATTGCCTTTGAACGTTCTGATCCTTTATTATATTTATGGTACTACTCTCTGTGTATTACTGTGTATTTTAGTCTTCTCTATATCTGGACAATCTGCACCAGTTTTCATTGCTGGTTGTTATGTTGTTGAAGACCTTATTTCTTTGTATCTCCCCAGCTGAGGTGCTTTATGAGTGTTTTATTTTTCTTTTGTACAAAAGTAAACTACTACAACTTCTTATATGAGGTTCAATGCAGTATAAGCACAGGTTTAGGAGTTAATCCCATTCAATGTCATATTGAAATAAATGAATGAAGAGCTCTGTTTTTTAGCTACTTTGGAATGATGCCATAGTACTTGAATGGAGTATTGCATCCCAAATATTATATTCACCAAATTCAGTATGTTTACACATGATTTCTACTAATCGAGTTCTTTGGAAGAAGCTACTGATACTTAGACTCTGGGATTAATTTGGAGCTGGGGCTGGTCGTGTTTCAGTTTGTCTTGAGGTCTCTAGAAAGATCACAGTCTGAAATAGGAGTGGAAATAGAAGGATGCTTATGTGACTATGAATGAACATATTCCTCTGAATAAACTTAGCACCAGTATTCATGAAAACGAATTTCAATATCACTTGAATGAATAAAGTATAATGAGGACCAGGAGTTTCTGCCTTTATTGATACAATTCATTTTAAAGATATTAAAATAAGTACTCCGCTGTTTGTGTAAAAATAACTGTGTTGTACAGTGTACAGCTTGTGGAATTCTTGTATGGAAACTCTCATTCAGCATCCTTCTGCAACTTCCAGTGTATGTCTGTGTAACAAAATTTTGGATTCATAATGTGGTCATGTGAAAGAGATCAAAAATATGGTTTTACTATCGAAAGGATAGACTGGTCGTGAGTCTCAGATGTGTTTATATCCATGGCTACTCTGCCAAAATCTCAGTTACTTAAAATAAATAAAATAAAATCTGTGTTATTTTAGGCTCTCAAGATTTAGATTCCTAGGAAGAAATAAAAACCATTTCTGTGAAATGGAAAATGAAGGAAGAAGTACGGCATTGGAAAAAGTTGATGGACAACAAGAAGGGATCATTTTGATTTGTTCTCATTTTATGAAGCATAGATTTTACAAATGTATGGATTTTGTGGTATTAAAGAAGAGCCTATTAGCTACAGCTGATCTAAATCTCAAACATTCTGATGCTATCAGTGAAACAAAAATACTTTGGTGTTTTTTTTTGCTATTAACATTATAGAAATCTTCATATATGGGTGTGAAATCTTTTTAATTAGAGGTACTAAATGTTCAAAAAATAAAAGCTGCTTCATGTCCTATTCTCAGGTACCTTTCTTCATTATCTTTACTCTCTGTAAGGCAGTAATGAAAATGAATGATTCCTATACAAACTTTGTTTTTGCCTGATGTCACACTTGGCCTCACATATGTACAGGATATGAATCTTAGCAAATATTGTGTTTAGTAAAATTTATAAGAAAAGAAAAAAGCATACATAAGTAAAAGGTAAAGAGCAGTTTTCAGTAGTAAACTAAAGTATATTTCTTTTTGTTCTTTGTTTTAACCATCTGTGTTCTTCCACACAAGGCTTTAAAGGAATTCCTATATGTATGTGTCCAGGGCATCAGACATTAAATGATGTCTTCTCTATGAGAAATCTACTAAGTGTTCTCAACAAAGAGATAATCATATAGAAATACTGGGGAAATTGAGAAACAAAAACATACATTCTTTAAGATTTTGTTCTTGTTTCCTTTACGCTCAGGGAAGATGTAAGTTTTGTCCATTTAATGCCCTAAACCTTGACAGTTAACTAAAGATGTGTTGTAGGATGGTTCTGTGTTGAGTATTGTTTGGGTGACAGCTACAGCATACAACTGGGGAAAATTGCTGTATGTGAAGTCAACTGCTTTTTTGTTGCTCGCTCTGTGTTTTAATACTCTTGCTTAGGTATTGGGAAATATTTTTTAATTTTTTTTTTTCAAGGTTTAGGTGGGGAGCATGAAGGTGTGTTATCTGACTCTGTCGTACTGTAATATCAATGAAAATGACATAATCAGGTCTTGGTAGGCGATAGGGCTGAGGAGCACAGATTACCAGAGATGCAGGCCTTCATTATCAAAGAAGCAGCAGTCTCTCAGAGTGGCGTTGGTAAAGCAAAAAGTCTGTTTTAGTGGGCCAATTTGCTATGTTTGGCGTAAAAAGCATATGATTGCATCTGACAGTGCATCTATTCAACAACAGGGATGCATACAGGATCCAGTTGCATCCCATATATTGCTGTACCAATCAGAGACAGCTCCTGAAGATGCACCTCCTAACTTCTGTGTAAAGTGCAGGCATGGGAGAAGCTTTGACTGATTTCACTGAAGCCATCAGACAATGATGAACATTCTTTCTGCTGCCAGAAAGCTACATGGGAAACTGTTGCAATGGGCATGCACAAATCATACTCTGCAGTCAGTTGTGACAGCACTTGCCTTCTTCAGGGATGTATCAGCTTTCGTTTTCTCTTTTCATAAACAAAGAACCAGAGTAGCGCCTGTTTTTTAATAGAAGAGAATTTTTCCACTGCATTTTACCTCATTTCTAAATCTACCACAGTGCTGCCACAATGTCCACTCTAGAGCTGACTTTTATTAACAGAGTTGTTTCTGATCCCAGAGGAGAGACTCAGATCAGCAAAATATCCCATTCTAGGAAAACTGTGTCTTCAGCTCTGGGTTATGATGCACAAGTGTCTTCTCTGCTTAGCTACAGGAAAAGCAAATTTCTGCTGTGACATTTCTGTTAAGGATCATGGCCAGCTGGAGAACCAGCTTTTTTTTTTTTTTTTTTTTTTTTTTTTTTTTTTTTAACTCCCTTCCCATTTAATGAACTGCCGTGGTTGTATGTGAGCTCTTAATTTTTTTTTTGTTTGTTTTCTGGGGAGGGGTGGGAGCACATGCAGTGAACAGATGGACTAAATATGGTTGTTATAGGGTAAATGAGAAGCAATGAAAATGCAGGCTTTTTCTTACAGCAACCTGCCCTAGTTGTGGTGCCACAATATGGCAGATTGTTGCTTCTAGTGCAGTATCTTGGTCTCACACTGTATTAATGACTACAGGTAAATAAAACTCTCCAAATTCTTCAGAAACTACAAAATTCCAAAAATGCATGTAAGGTGAAGTGGACTGCTTTTTTTTTTGTTTGTTTGTTTGTTTTTGAGAGAGAGATAGTTGGATACTTTATTGGTGTAGGCTTCTAAAGATCTCTTAGATGTCTTTCAGGGAACAGATCAGAAAAGGTATTACAAAAGGATGACTAAAAACAATCTTAATTTCCCTGCATACAGGAACAAAATAGTGGTGCATATCCACTTCTAAATAGAATCTAAAATGCAGTCCCTGATTGAATTTCTGGAAGAAGACAAACAGACAAAATAACCATGGAGTTCGCATTTGTGCCAGTGCTTAAACTGAGAGCTGCATTTTTTGTTGTTTTAGTTTTTCCTGTCTTGAGAGAGAGTATTCTTTTGTACTTGTCTCTTTTCTAATTGTTGGATCATTGAGAGATGCTTTAAGAACATCTATTTTTCTGATTTTTAAGCTCCTTCATAGCCATTTGAGGAAGAACTCTGGACTAGATAGATGTCTACTCTGATTTGGTAGCCACGTTTGTGTTACTGTAGTGAAATGAAAATACAGAACTTCCACAGTTTGGAGGTTTTTCTTTATTAGGACAGATCAGCAAAAGAAAAATGTGATTTAACTAAAACATCCTAAATAATATTAGTATTATCCATAACACAAATTTTTGAAACTATATCTAAGAAAATCTGGAAAAATAAAGTATGCTTATACAGTTAGCTTTCTTATGGATGAGCTTAATACGATCTCTAATGCAAGACAAAGAAGAAATATATTTAATATAAATTACATAAAGATTTTTAAAGAAAAAAATCTGCCTGAAATTCTTAGTTTTATTTCTGTGAGAATGGAAGACTGGATAAACGGGAAACTGTCTCCTGAAACAAGTTGACAGGCATTGCCTTGCATGTTGATTTAACATTATATGCCATGGGATTTCTATAGCTCAGAAAAATACCTGAAAGTATTTCTGCCTAAATTTCTCTCCTCAGAATCTGTAACAATGGAGGGAGGGAAGAAATGTCAATAGAACTTGCAGAAGATACTCTAGCGTGCAGTAGCTGAAGCAACGTGAATGAAAGATGTGGGATGTGAATGCAGTTCCTTGCTCTGAACTAACGCGCAAAAAGGCGACGATCTTTGCCTGCCACAGAGCATGAACTGTGTGGGCTGTCAGTTCCAGAAGCATGGTCAGCTTTGACCAGAATTGCTGTACTGTATCTCATGAGTGGGTTTAGCAGTTGCTGTACTTCAATTTTTTAATGCTTTACTTGCAAACCTGACAGATTGCAAAGGAAAAGCCATCACAGCTTTAAGGAAAGGAAACTAACTTTCCAAAGGGCTCTGTGTATAAAAATACTGACACTGTTTCCTACTTTCACCTATTCTTTTACTGAGTTGGAGCTGAAGCTTACATGTGAAGAAAACGTATGCAAAAGAGTAGTGTCTATGCCCTTCTTCAGGATTGGATCAGGAAAGCCTATGTCAGAAGATATGATTGGAAGTTGTCTTTCTCAGATTTAAACTACTTTGTCGTTTACTGTAATAGATGATATACAATAGCTTCCAGATGTTCTGCTCACTTGCACTGCCCAGCTACAGAGCTGAGGCTGTTCCTCCTAGCACTAGAATTAGGCATGATGATGAGAGCTCCTGCTGGGTCAAAGAGCACCCGTTCACTGAGGGCTGTCTTTTATTCATCCTCCTTGGGACTGCTGTCTTGGCTTCAGTATTTGTAGGCCATCTGTAGCCTTTACATTTTTTTTAATCAGCTGCTTTCTGCTTGAGAAGCACTAATTTTGTCTTATGCACCACTGTCCCCTCTATGAGAGCATTCAGCAGCAATGGTCCTAGGCTTCCGTCACTGCTTTGTTGGTCTCTGTGCTGCCAGAGCTGTTACTGGACCTTCAAACTGTCAACATTGCATTTGTTTTTCTGAACCTGGCAGCTGATACCAGGCAGGTTGCTCTGGAGAAGGAGGGGCTATCACAGCAGCAGCTCTCCCCACCTGGTGTCTCTTTTCCCTCCAACTTCTTGGAGAGGTGCACTTTTCTACATACATGCATGGCTAAGCCATGGGGCATGAGGTGAGGGGCAGTCTGTTCTTGTGTGGTGGGCGTCACGTGTGGTAACATGGCAGTTTGGGGAAAACTGTACAGTGCTTTCCATTGGAAGCAACTGAACGTGGTTGTTTGGTTGATACTTTTAAGCTGCATGTACTATGTGCTGCTCTATGTGCTGCTATCTGCTGTGAAGAGAGCTTCCATTGAGGGAGTCGGAATGCAGGTCCAATAATATATAGTGGAGTTCCAAAACCAGAAGCTCACAATTTGAGGAGAACCACTTTGGTTTCACTGGATTATTTTTCAGTGTCTTGTATATTCTGGTTAGCACGTTTCCCCGTTTCTTTCTTTTTTTTTTTTTTATTTATTTTTCTTATCCCCTCCATTGCCTTTTGCAGAAGAATATGGTGAGTCAGATTCCTCTGACTTCAATTATTCTCCAAGTATTGTTTCTGGCCAGTTTGTAGTTCTCATGTTGTTGTTGATAACCCTGCAATTTTTCAGGTTAGATAATGTGCAGTTGGGGAATTTTGCAAGTTTCTGCTTTGAAATGAATCGCTGCTAATAAGCGAAAGTAGTCAGAATGCACAACGTAGTTTTGAAAAGGCACCTAACAGGCTAAGGGAATACAGGTGAAGTGAGTTTGGTGTCATTTTTCTTTCTTTCTGTGAGCTAGAGGCAGTGGCAGGTTCATCAGCTGTTTTGATAAGAAACAATACAAACAAGTCTTTCTAAATCTCTTCTGCCAGTAAAGCTCCTGCTCCTCCTTGCTTTGGAAACAATCTTGCTTTACTACCTGTTATTTTACTCTGTGCCATTATACCCTGTTCATTTCCCTCTTTTTTGTCACCTTATCTATCCCAGGGAACTGTACCTTTTCGTTTTATTACATCAAATGGGAATATTTCCAGGATATGTACAGCTGTACTCTTGAACTTGTGACATTTAAAGGGCAATAGAATGCTAATGTGACTAATAAAACAGAAAAATGGCTTTATATAAGTCAGTGCAAAAATGGCTCAACCTGTCTTCTAAATGGACTAATTTCAACAACATTTGCTGATAGGGGCCTGGAGGGA